TAGCTGCTTGTGTTCATCACTTTGAGCTTTGTGGGTTGCCGTAAGGACAAAAAGAACGATTTCCAGGATTAGCCAGAGATAGTACTAACAGGGGGTGGAAGCTGACGACAATTTTGGCATAGCGATCAAGGCATTGACGATTGCAGCCAAGTGAAATGACTGCTGTGTACTCCCGTATCCCATAGTTCAGCCAGAAGAGTGTTACCAATGAACCTACGATTACAGAGCATCCCAAGACAACATGGCGTAGATGCACCTCTTAACCATCGTCGGTGTTATGCAAGAGCTACCTCACTTCAGTTCAACGCTACTACCCCGCTGGCACTGCTTAAAAATGTACAGCACCTGGAATATTTGCCATGTGATGAAAGTTACTAGATGGTCTAGTACAAATACAATTCGTCAAATTATATAAACAGAACATGATTGATAGCTCCAGATAACTGATTTACATGGTTGATGGAGCCAATCGAGCAACCATCTGGAACTCTTCTGAATCTGTAAACATATATCTTCCCTTCATCATTTCTCGTCTTTCTCAACAATCTTCTTCTCCCCGGAATTGACGCTCTCAAAGTCCTCCTTGTACGTCATGAATACATCGTCGTTGAGATGCCGGTGTCTGAACCAGAAGACGATGGTCTGAACGAAGAGGGCGATACCAGGGGCAGCCCAAGCCCAAATTAGGGTTGGGTCCGCGATAGACGGAAGAAGAATCTGTCCCAAGGCACTGCTCAAGGCTGTCATGAAGAGGAACAGAGCAACAACGGTCGATCTCATGTGCTCCGGGGCGCGAGCATAAGCCAACTCGTAGGCCGTGACGTTGATGAAGATCTCGGACATCGCACCGAGTGCGACATTGGGAATTTGCCACCAGATCGAGAGAGGAGAGACGTCGTCGCAGTCGCTGGCAGCGTAGCCACTTCAAAGAATGTTAGCATTGCCTCTCGGGTGCCAGGTCAATCTGTAGGAAAACTTACCAAGGACTCGTCTCATAGACACGCCATTGTACCAATGCACCAATGAGGGAAGAGATGATGGCCAAAACGAATCCCACTGTCATTCTGCTGATGCGTCCAAACTTGACGTTTCTACGCTCGAGGAAGGGGTAGACGACATTGGCCATGAAGGGTGAGAAGACGATGATGACCAAGGGGTTGAAGTGACTAAGCAAATCGTTCGGTGCGCCGTCAGATGTCATTGCCGCACCTTGGTTGCTCTGGACGTTTCCAACGCCGCCATCGTTCAAGTACCAGATTGGGATGTAGAGGAAGATCTGAACTGCTTGCCACGTGCGGCGAGCATCGTCAACATCCTTCTCAGAGTAGCCGACATGGACTCCCCGTTCGGCGAGAGCGGTAGGGCGGACGTTCTGCCACACATTCTTGGAGAAGATGTTTCCCTTGCTCGCCTTGATTGCGGAAACTGTGATCTTGACGAAGCGGTTCAAGTCGGAACCCTGAGGTGCGACTCTGACTGTGCGCTTGTACGTGGCGGCAAGCAAAAGCGGAAGCAGGAAGTAGACGATACCAGGAACGAGGTATGCCAACCAGAAACTGTGGTACTTCTCAATATAAACGACGGCAATAGAGAAGAAGGCGCCAACGTTGATGAAGGCGTAGAAGATCAACATGATGTGGTTGACTGTAGTCTCAGGGTCGACGATGACCTTCTCTCCCGACTTGAGCACCTTGGTGTACTCGCGTTGGTGCTTGTACTGGTCGATGACTGTCGGTGCAACATTGGGCTTGAAGATACCGGCTCCGATGGCAAGTAGGAAATAGCTGATAAGAAACGGGGCAACACCTTTGCCGGCTTGCAGGATTGACGGAGCAGCGCCTCCGACCATGATAACATGGGCAACACCTCCAATACCAACACCCCATGCAATGGCTTTGTAACGGCCGATCTTGACGTCTGCAATCCACGCACCAAAGATGGGAATGACGTAGGCCAGGAAGGTGAAGAGGAGACCCAAGGCAGAGGCTGTCTGCAGTCCCAGACCAAGAGCGCCGGCATGGGAATTAGGCTTGGACTTGTCGATGGCACCGGTGCCAGGACCTCCTTCGGGCAGTGGAAACTGAAGATAGTTGTTGAAAGCGGCCTTGACACCATAGTATGATGCTCTCTCGGCCATTTCTACCACGCAAAGAGACCATGATGTGATAGGGATGGAGTCTGCAACTTTGCGAAGCGTCGACCGCTCTTCAGCAGTCGGAGCCGGGTAGGCATCATCATCGATGACAGAGTGTGCCTGATCGAGGGAGTTGTTTTGGGACTCTACGTCGAGGGTACTAACTTGTTGAGCCTTCTCGGGGTGTACGCCTTGGTCGGAGTCGGGTTCGACGACCTTGTGCACGTTGAGACCAATAACATTCTCAGCTGCAGACTTGTAAGCGAACTAGACGTACATCAAACTTGTGTTAGAGAACTTACCCATGGTGATCAACTTCGCTCTGTGTAACTTGACAGCGTAGGTTAAGAGACTGAAGGAAGAGAAGGTGAGGAGGCCCGGGAACTGAGTTTTGACCTACCTCGCACCTACTGATATGTTATCTGCTAGTCTCCGGAACGTTGCAGCCAGAGATAGATCTCCAAGGAAAGTTGACAGGAGGGCCCCATCGAACTATCCTGTTCAGGGACCGTAGGCCTGCCCAGATGGCCAAGGCGGGGCCAAGGTTGATCGCGAGCTTGTGGAAGCTTGTTGCGACATTGGCACATTGCCATTGACCCCATGCATATCCTAGTCCCGGCAAGTGGGTGGCTAGCTCCCGTCTGGGCACTGGATAACGTCTCTTTAATTCCAAGGCTGGAAAACCAGCGAAATCTTCACAAATTATAAGGAGTTTGGAGAACTTCTCGCTTTCTTTTGAATCTATGAGCGTCCAAATGCCGCTTATCTTTGGTGTTTGGGGAACTTCAAGAGCGGAACGTTACCATAATTGCTGCCCACTTCCCCGGCCAGCGGGACCCCATGTCCACAACACACAACAGATATGGAGGCGGGCCGATATCAACACCCTTATCGGTCTTTTATCCGCCGGCATTCCATGACGGGAGCCCACGACGTCGATTGCGTGATTGCGAGAGTGGGGGATTTTGTCGTTGCACATCCAACAAGAGCAGAGATATCCCCAAACCACGGAATTGGATGTGCTTGTCCCCTTGCCGTAGTTGGCCGCCGGACGGGACGACCGAAAGCTTATTAGTGCTTGGGACCGGCGCATCCTCAGTCGAGCGAGCTGTTGTGAAAAACTAGAAATGTCGCCATAATCCACCCAACTTCAATCCCAGCTCGAGTTGCGTAACAAATAGACCAATATGGCCTATGAGAATGGCATCATTGTCATCTTGCCGAGGCATGAGTGAGTATTTGTATCCTTCGCCGCCCCCTTTTCTTGTTTAAGATGTCTCGGCGGCCAAGCCGTAACGAGTCATTCGTGAGTGAGAAAGATGCGGCGAGAGCGCCCGAACAGGCACAAGATACATCGTTTTTGGAGTTCTTGTGGCTTTCTGGCGCTGTTGGCTGTGTAATTCTCGCGCAATCTTTAAGGTTTGCGATGCTTGGCGGTGGGAAATCTGGTTGAGCATTCTCCACATTCGACAAGCACTGGAGGCACGTTCCAACTTTCAAGCCCACCGTGAAAGCACGCCATCCATTGTAGCGAGTGACCAGTTTGACTGTGCGGTTTTCTCCCTCTTGCAGTATAAGAAGGACGTGGATGGCCCAAGATTTCCCCTCGAACCAAGAGTTTTTCCACATAGGTATGCGGGGACGTGATGCTTACGAATTTCAGTAAAACTCACGAATAAGGCTTGGGTAGCTTCCGACGCAGATCCTGTTGCTAAAAGCAGAAGACACTGCTTCTCCGGAAACATTGTCCATTGACGGGCATCCTAGAGGTCAATGAAGCTTCTTATGTTCATCTATCTCATATGTCTACGCAGATATCTCCGCGCAAGTGGTCTTCGATTTATCTCAAACAGCTTTGAGTGACGTCACAGCAATGTAGTCAAGCCATCGTAGTTATGTCTGGTTGAAAAGAAAAAGAAATACTTCAACATTACAATACCGCCTTATATGTCGAACGAACTACGTATCTTCACGATTCTCAATATTGAGAGAACCATATCGAAGCATGCAGCCCCCCGAGATCACAAACCAGTCTCAGGAATTTTGTACTTGAACTTGCGCGGAACTATTCAAATGGGCATGTTGTGATTGGTGGCCACTAAGATCAAGTCCTGTTTAACATCCTGACTCTCCTTGCTTCTAGTAAGCTGCAGCCGGCAACTAAGACCGAAACTAACAACAACTCAACTGAGCTGAAATGTGGAAATGTGGAGATGTGATCGAGTATCTTCGTCGAGTGTATGTTCCAGCTGGTATGGAAGTAGTCAAAACATAGTCGTCTTCTACCTAATTACTCCAACTCGGAGTTTTGTTCCTCTCGCTTTCGAAGGTAGTGGAAGCCGATGTATTATTCCATTCGACTACCCCATGCCATCCCTGACGGCCCTAGGGTAATCAACGTGAAATATTGTAAAGTGCGTTTCTCCCGCTAGATTAAGTGTCTTGAGGAGCCGCAACACCTCGCAAGGTCAAAGAACCCCAAACAGCTGTTTTCTGAAGCCAGATTCCAGGGAATTGCTTTTTGCCCCAGCGCGACCCTTCAGGTTCGTGCAACTCGATCGTTTTGACCGTGAACTCAACGTCATGTTCATGTCAGCGCGGGGTAGCAACTTCAGTTTAAGCCTCGAAGGAACATTAGCTGAACGTTAGGCGCTCGTGGCCAAATAGATTCATGATCTCACATGGGGTTTGTCATTTGTGAGATACACTTCCAGCTGTAACTTTTCTCATCCGTTTTCACATGATTCCGAGGCAATACACCAATCAATCAATCAACTTTTATAAACCGAGACACACGCTCATGAGTCCTCTATCCAGTTCTCCGGATTCATGGTCGTCTTTTCGTCAGTTTTCACACCTGAATACCATGGCACTAGAGAAGAAACCAGATCAGTCCGGGAATTCGGGGCAGGACAAGAAGTCGGAGCCGCCTAAGAAAGTGGAACAACCCAAGAAAACAGAACAATGTAAGAAACAGGCGCAGTCCAAAACACCAGAGCAGCTCAAGAAATTGGAACCATGTAAGAAATTGGGGCAATCTAAGACCTCGGGGCAACCCAAGATACCAGAACAGCCTAAGAAGTCAAAGCACCTTATGGATTCGGAACAGTCTACGAAACCAGAACAGAAGCTGAAGAACCAAGAGCAGGAAAGGCCAAAAGAGGTGAAGAAATCAGAACAGGCTGTGGGCCAGCTTGGTCCGCAGACTGCGTCATGCCAAGCCCTCATTCGCACAGCCTGTCCTCAATATCTGACGTCCGAGGAATTTGAGCAGATAATTAGACAGTTCAAAATTTGCCCCTGGCTGGAGAATAAGCAGGTGTTATGGAGCGGGTTGATGAAGGATCAGGTTCAAGAATGGGCAGCTCAACGAGGGATGCAGACGCTCACCACCGCCATGGGACCATTGATGGACTCGGGCAATCCCCTATGCTTGCGACAAACGAAAAGCTCCTGCGCGTGGTCGAAGTATATCAAAGGAGCTTCCCTTGTCTTTGCGTGGCGTATTTCTCAAGGCTCATACACTACTGTCCTAACTCCGCCACCGCCAGAACGGTTTCACCCAGACGGATTAACCAACTGGCAAGACATAGAGGAGCCCGTCTTGAAGGGTCGTCTAGGCACCCCGACGTCATGTGCAATCTTGCTAGTTCATCCAGCTGTCCAAGAAGCTCAAAACTTCCGCTATCAGGTGTGGCCGGTAGACTACACAGATAAATGGCTCAAGAAATTCAAAGTCAATCAAGCCTCGATTCACACCTGGAGAACTATATCTAAATCAAGAGGTCAGTTCCTGTACTACTCAATGTTCAGATGTTATATGATGGCTGATCAAAGTACAGCCCACACATCATGGATGGTCCCTACTGACGAGCCACTCAAGTCGGCGGATACGATCAAGTTGAGCACCACACGCAAAGCCAATGCCGTAACACTAGCCAGCACAGCTTCGAGGGATAATAATGCCTCCGCAGATCCAAGATGTTTGCTACAAAGTCAAGTAAACATCCCTGAAATTGAATTGGGTGGAGAGAAGAGACTAGTTATGCCACAAGTCACCAAAGCTTCAGGCACTACGATGTCTCCTCCCAGCCCAACACTGTCTCTAAAAAACCAACAGAGCAGACGTCGAGTTGGAGTTGATGCAGCAACTCAGACTATCCAAGTGTCATTCCCTGGGTCACAAATCGTCAACGCCTCAAGCGATGAAGCCCTGCCCCCTGCTTCAGGAGGCCAGCCGCAATGCCAAAAGAGCATGGGCCAGACTAAAGCAGGTACAGAGACGAGGCCGGCCGTACCCAAGGTCAGTCAGGTTTCAAATGATGCGATCACTTCCCAAGATAAATCTGATACTCCGCAGAGTCTCCCGAATATTTCTCGAGCTCGCGCGAATCAAGAGGCGATTCAACTCAGTAGACCCGGAGAACCTGCAACGGGTCCATCGTCTGCTGCGTCCATTACAGAAGCTCCATCAGCTTTCTTGGTGTGTCTGTATTTGGCAATTATCGAGATTATTCTATCGTTGCTGCTGCTTCTGATTGGAACTGCAGTACATCTTGGTTTGATGCCATGGAACAGGGCCAAGATGAGTGAAATCAAGACACCATGTCCCTTTACTAATGGCGGCTCGGCTTCTCAAGCAATACCAGTGAATTCAAAGGCTGCCAAGAAAGCTGCTAAGAAAGCATCAAAACGGTTCATCAAAGAACAGTCTTTGAGAGAAGCTCAAGAGACACTGGAATCTGGCGTGGCCATCGGGAGGCTATTCCACAAAGACAAACTAGTGGACAAACCCCAGGCAGTCTATGTTGATACCTCCAGCACCTTGAGCAACTTTTCAGCGCCAACAGTAACAGTATATGGAATGGATTTTGCAAGCCACGATCTGCCTGGACATAAAAGGAAAGATAAGAACAAAAGAAAGAAGGCGACGGCGGTTGCGAGCATCACTGTGGAAGATGCGCAAGTCACCGCGTTCACACAGCCTACAAGGGAATATGCATACAGCTGTCTTGGACCAGTGGACCCCAGCGCGCTGAGGAAGTCCTACTGGGTAGACTGAGAAAGAGGTTTTGATTCAGCTGAGCACTAAGTAGTTGCTTATCGAGGGTCCCAGACTGTGAAAACTGAGATGACCCGGGTTCTGCATGTAGTATGTGTTGTGGCACAAAATGCGAAGATGTCTGATGTCGAGCGTGTCCTATTCAATTATTATCCAGTCAGTATCACTAGGAATTAGGACAGATGCGGTAAAATCATCTCTCATTACGAAACGGCATCATCTCGACTGTCTTTGTCACAAAATATGACGATACGGGTTTTGTGTTTTCATGCAACGTGTAGGCCTTCTCATCGTGATGAAGACAAGGCATGGTAAACTTAAGTTGTTAGTACCTTGTATTGAACGCCAATGACTCTAAGTGAACATGATAGATGTTGCTACATAGAGGCGTATTTCATTGCAGGTTCAAATCATGTCCGCCCTCTGAATTCCTCATCACGTCCAGCTTGAACTTACATGTAGCCACACGAACCGAAGCAGATATCTTTTACCTTGATTTAAAATAGCTATTGTAGAAAATCACGATAGACTCTAATGATGCCCCATACAAATCCAGTACAGTCTTGGAAGGTTCGGGCAACATCCTCCTGAAACCTCATTATCATGATGAGCCCATCTCATCAAACCCGGAGGAACCCAGACACAATTCTGACATCGCCGATCGACATCAATGCACCAGACCGCTGCGGTATCCTCGATCCCACAATAGAAGATAGAAAATGACACGTGAATCTAGACGCCTCACGATCATGGCTCCTCCCGTCTCGATGTCACATCACGCATCAGCTCACGAAAGCCAAGTGTATGTTCCCCGGCTAACCCGCAACACCAGCACCTCACCTCACCCATCAACCGTCGGCCGAGCCATTGTTCCACAAAACTCGCATCATCGAGAGACGATCCCTGGCTCTTCCCCTCTCTTCACAGGCCAATGTCAGTGAAGCACCCCGAAATACGAAGCAATTCTGGAGACTGAAGTGGATGAAGCAAAGGTGCAAGAGGTCTAGACAACGGGACGATCACTGGCGTCATTCAAGCCCTCCACATCATCCAAGTTCAGGGTCCTTTCCAGAGCGGGCAGCAAATCGAGAGGGTGTGTTTGGATGGAAAAGGGATCAGCACCGCTTCACACCCTCTCACGCAACCCATCTGTACGTTATGTTATGGCTGCAGTTGATAAGCAACGCAGAAGCGCCTCATTGAACCCTGAAACGTCTTCTTGCAGGGCTGGCGCAGGTGTCTGTCTTGTGCGGCATATGAGAGGTCAATCGCTTGGGTATCAATCTCACACCCACTGGCAATGGGTGAGGTCGCAGTACACCGACACCGGTCCGTCTGCATCAGACAGCTTCTGGCCTAGGAAGGAAATTATGCCACTTAAAACAGCGATTGAGCGAGGCTGGATGGGGACCACCCTCAGAGAGGATGATATTTCCCGACCCTCCATCTCAAAGGTCTTGAATATCGTCCGAGATGGACAGAATATTGTTGGGGCCGTCATCATCGCGGTACGGGGCGAGATGTTACGGATTTCATGCAGACCGTGGATCCATCGCGCATTGTAGTGGCACGGTTGATAGTATGACTGTTGATGGTGGTGGGCGTCCAATCTCGGCGTGATATTTGACAAAATAATTAGCAAAAAGCTAACGTAACGGCGAAAGTCCGGAGCGAAGTCCACAAAGCATTGTTCTCTCCGATAACGCAAGGACGGTGAGGGCAGAAGAAGACGCGCACAGCCTCGCGCGAACCTTGCCGCCACCCGGCCGAGCGAGCCATAGACACACAAACACAGAGAGAAGAAACACACGCACTCATACGCAGGAGAAGAGGGTGAAGAACAAGGTGGTCGGGGATTTTACAGGCCAACCAGCCAGGCAGACCCAACCCCTACAGCATCTAGGGACCCTGCCAACGCCGCAGATTATCACAGTTACCGACCTCGTTTTCGCCATGTCAGCCCCATGCAAACGCACTGAAGCTCACTGAAGCTTCTTCTGGTTTAGCAGTTTAAGTCTGTGCCGCTCCTCATCTCCACTGGCGCTGGCAGCGGACGCCCCTCCAGGGCAAGTCCCTTTCAAGTTCCCCAACAACCACGCAGTACACGTACACGTATGCGTAGAATCCACAGAGGCGAGTTTGACATGTCTTGTTCCAAGGCAAAGGCAAACTAGTTTGGGAGACGTGCGGCGCCATCGTGCTTCGTTGGAGTGATGTTTGAACGCCGGCGGCTCTGTTGTGCTCCACATCGGTCTGATATGATGGATGAGGAATGATTATGTGATGATGGCCCGTTCGTCTTCCCATCGTTTAGCCTCAACATGATGTGAGCGAAGCAGCAGCAGCAGTAAAGTGGAAACCCAAAGCAATGACAAAAGAATTGGGTCTCGCGGGGGTTGGGTTCGGTGTTCGTGGGTTTGTGGGCTGGTGGACCTCTCCCTTGCGCGAACACCCTCGACCGCCTGGACCTTCTCCAGAACTGAGCTGAGCTGAGCTGCACGACGGCCGCTGCTTTGCGGAGACGGGAAGGGGACTTGAGGGGAAAGATTGTCCATCGATCAGCGTGAGTCTAAATCTCTCTGACGAACAAACGCAAAACGGCGGCTGGGGCTGGATTCATCAGAGACATGAATCTCCACAGATAAGCAGAATGGCTTTTTTACGTCTGGCGTCTCACTCTCGAAATCTAGGTAGTAGATCCCAATTCCCGTTCATCGAAGGCAGACAAAAGCAGCAGCGGCCATCCGCTGTTCTCAGCGATGCGGCGGACGCCGGGGTAGGGGGTGTAGAAACATGGGAGGAAGACGTCAATAAGTCCGCTCATCACTTTTCTCAGACCTCCAACGAACCATGCAATCCACATTAAATCCGCATTGCATGTAATGTCTATTTCGAATCCGTACGTCCATCGTGTTCAGCGTATCAGAAGCATCGAGAGGCCTGGGCAAAAAGCGTCAATATTACCTGTGCCGCTCATCCACCCCCGACTGCCCCTCGTTCCCGCGCTTAGCAGCCCACATCCGCAGACAAGCAGACACTGGGACCGACCCATCCGCTGGGTCTCGTTAACCGTGAGTTCGACATCTGCAAGTGAGCCTCGAAGGGGGAAGAGAAGAGCCTCCTCGCATCTTGACAGTCACAGACCGACGGTCTAGAGCGTGGTCCATCGAATCCTTCACCCCCTCCTTCACCTCACTCACCTCCTCCCATGGTGCTACGGCCAACGCTCACCGGCCCGTGTAGCTCTTGGCCAAGGGCCTCTCCGTCTGATCCACGGGCAGCTCGAGCGCACCACCCTCTCAGTGATCGACAGTGTCGGCTTTGGTTGTCAGATTTGGCGCATCTAACGGACAGCTCCAGATGCTGCAGAGCTTACGAACGAGGCGAGCTTCAGCCAACGTTTGTTTGACAAGGTTGAGTTTCTTTGCTTGAGGCGGTAGGTCTCGCCGGTATAGTTGGGGGGCGGAGGACTCCGCTGCCGGCAAGTACAATTCCCGTCGCCATCGCCTTTGAATTTTTCACCACACCAAAACACAGAAACAGCAAGATTCAACGTCTATCAAATCCGATCTCTGCCTAAGTCAACTCAAACACCCTCCGTAAGACTTGAACCCCTCTTCTGTTGCCTTATGTACACACGCAACTGTAAGTGTAGGTAGCTGCCAGTCTCTCGACACAGCGCTCCTAAGGAACATCTACACAATTCTCATGTTCGCATATCCCAAGAATCGTGCAGTGGCTCATTCGTCATTCACACGCCTAGCCCCCTAGTAGAGGCGAAAAAAATCTCTGCAAGTAATTGGCAGGGGTCGACATCAAGCTGCAGTCCCAACTGTCCGATATTGTCTCACCATATGTGCCTCGCTGAAATGCTCTCTCTTACATCTTGCGAACCCTGAATCTGAACAATTCCGACCACCGGCTTTCGAGCCTCGAAGGGGTGGTCTTGCATGCCATGGATTGGTCGATTAACCACTCAACTCATCTCATCCTCGTTCCCGTTGCCGCTGGCGGGCTTCGTTCCGAGTCCCGACTCCCCATCACCGTTGTCGTCGGCATCGCGATGTGAGTTATTGTTGGGGGTCCCTCATCCGTTTTTACATGTTTCGCATCCGCAAGTGGCCTGGATCTCCGCGAACCCTGGTCTACGTGATGTGCTTCGGAGGATTTCACGCGTCAACTCGTGCTTCAAGGACATGCGAACTGGTCGTCCCCATCGGAGCCCACACATCGTGAACAGCACACCCCTTGTCGTTCCAACCCATGGGCCAATGCTGTGGCTAGGCCTTTGGCGACACCCCTTGGCCCTGCAACGACACCAAACCAAACATCGTGAAATGGACCGGGCATGAGCCAAAATGCAAGGCGCAGGAAACGGCTCAGCCAAAACCCCTTGCCATGCTCGTCACATCGTGAGGCTCTCCACCACGACGACGACATCCCATTCCACATTTCCCATCTATCTATCCATCCCTCCAGTCTCGTCAACTCCACAACCCCCGCTAGCCACGTTCGTCGCCTGCCCAGATAACGATCTAAGCACCATCATCGCGTAAAACAAACGAACTCTTACAACCTCCCTGAAGTACCAACATCCTCTCTCCCATGCTCTTCACGCACGCCCACTCACCTCGTCACCTTCTAGGCGAACGCCTCTATCCCTATTTCTGTGCAATTGTGTTTCTGGCTTACCCGGTCTTACCAGCCAGAAACCAGCCCGTCCAGCCCCTTTGCCAACCATGCCAGCAGTCGAGGGCGCTAAAGAGTCCACCAAAATAGCCAAGGTCAAGAAAAGCCTCAAAAGTGGACGAAACCAGCCAGCGACAGCGCCCACCGCCGCCCTAGCAGAGCTGTCCACCGCACCGTCGCGGGCGCTATCTGCCAGGCGTGCCAGAGAAGCTCCCGGCGGGATAGTAGTTCTGAATAAGAGGGAAGGCGAACAAAACAATGAATATGACTATAATTCTCCATGCCAGCCTTGCCAGCCTCCGAAGCCGGCG